TCTAATCTTTGGCTAGGCTCAAATAACAGCACAGACTTAGAAAAATCTACCTTAAGGAAGATTACGACCAGTCTCATAACTGCTAAAGGAGTCACTGTAGCCAGAACTATATTTATTAGCATGTTATAAAGAGAAAAAGTCAGGAACCTGGATTTTAAAAGTTTTGCCTTGTATCAAAATGGAAGTGTATGTCACACAAGGCACTCGTGGAGTCCAAAACTAACTCCACTCCCAATTCTATCCCTCTTATTATGGAGCATGCCTCAGTACCTGGTATATCAACAGCATATTTTACACTTTCACTTCCTTTAATGAATGTACATTTTATCTCTAAACAGGTTCTCTAAACCCTTTCAGGAGAAGGATTATGACTAAAGTTTATTCGTCAGTGTATTCGTTACTGAATGCCCTCTCTCTACCAGGCACTGTCCTAGTCGCTAGATATATAGCATTAAAAAACTGCGAAACTTCCTGCCTCCTTGTGTCGTGCTTTTTAATGGACACTGACAATGCATTCAAACAATAAACACAGAAACATGGAAAATATAGTATATCAAATGGTCCTGAGTGTTATGGGAAAAACAGGAAAGAGGATAGGGAATGCTAGACAAGGCAGAAGCAGAGGGGTAGTTGCAATTTTTCAAAAGGTTGACAGTTCTACATAAAGCACCTTACTGATAATGCAACACTGGACTGGAGACCTAGAGAGGTGAGGGAGATAGAGGTGAGACTGTCCTGGGAAACACATTCCAAGAAGAAGCAGTGACAAGTGCCAAAGCCCTGAGGCACAGGCTTATCTGGGAGAGAGAAGGCACATCAAAGGGGGCCAGTAGGGCTGGAGTGAAGCAAGTGAAGGCAAGGCTGGGAGATGTACAGTGTCAAGTCTCTGATTGTGTGCTTTGACTTTGGGAGAAATGGGTGCCAGTAGAGGACTGGGGGCAGTGAACACCATACGCTGGCTTACGTTTCAAAGGAATCATTAGGGCTGCTGATGACAGGCAGTTGCTAAGGATGGAAAAATGGAAGCAGGAGTTCAGCTCAGACATGTAAAAAGCTTGGAACTCATCACTCCCATTCTTACAACAAGAATACACTAAAGGAACTGCAAAAACGATGGCTTTTCTTGGGGACTTCCCTGGTGGCGCAGTAGTTAAGAATCCGCCCGCCAGTGCAGGGGACACGGGTTCGATCCCCGGTCCGGGAACATTACACATGCTGTGGAGCAACTAAGCCTGTGCGCCACAACTACTGAGCCTGTGCTCTAGAGCCCGTGTGCCACAACTACTGAAGCCTGCGCGCCTAGAGCCCGCGCTCCGCAACAAGAGAAGCCACCGCAATGAGAAGCCCATGCACCACAACAAAGAGTAGCCCCCACTCGCCGCAACTAGAGAAACCCCGCGTGCAGCAACAAAGACCCAGCACAGCCAAAAAATAAATAAATAAAATAAAAATTATAAAAAAATGCTAAAGGAACTGCAAAACCAACGGCTTTTCTTGGAACCGCCAGTGAATTGAGGTCACTGGGCAAACCATCATCAGGAAATCTGGAGAGACTGGAAAACCCAGTCATGCAGAGATGAGATTACCTGGAGCAGAAACTGACAGAAACAAGTAACTGGCGATTTTGAGAGGAGTTGCTGGAAGCTGACTTGTGGAAGAGCTTCAGTAAGAGGGAGAAACTCCTGGAGGCCATGGTCTTAGGGGCCTCTACTCTTTTGTGGGTTTTACCTCCAGGGACCCCCGTTCTCCCATTGAAGAGCCAAGAAACAGGCCTTCCTGGCTCTACAAGAGGAGGAGAAATATAAATTTTATGAAATAAGCCCTGATCCCCCTCCATAACAAAGGTCTACTCTCCAGGGGAGTGGCCTTACCCAGAGCTGCGGGTGTGTGTGGGGGGGGGCGGACAGTCATCCCTATCACTCCCATCCCCTCTGGCCTTCCTGTCCCAACTAGGAGACACAGGGAAAGCTAAGAAACTCTCATAAAGGTTACAGCCCAGAGGCATCAGGATTTAATCACCAAATAAGAGGACACTTCCCTTCTCCTACATTTAACCAACACACTTACAGGGCTCCATGATAAAAATGGTGAATTTACAGAGGAAAGAGATGCAAAATACAGACTCTGAGTTCCTGGGGAAGCCCAAAGACAACAGGGGAGACAAGAACAAGGACACCAGGGAAATACAATGCCTCTGGCACCTATAGCTACAGCAAACATTAAACCCACGCCCAACTCAGAGCCAGATTAACATTAAAACTCACATTAAGCCTATTTACCTAAGTTCCTACTACCTGATACATCATGTCATGACTTTCACAAAAGCATGCTAAAAGGCAAGAAAATAGAAGCAAGGAGATTACTTTAGAGGTTTTTAGTAATAATCTGATGAAAGATGATGGTGGCTTTGGCCATGATGTTAGCAGTGGAGGTGGTAAAATGTGGTCAAGTTCTGCATGTACTTTTGAAGAGAGAGGATTTGCTGATGAAATGGAGGTAGGGTGCAAAAGAAAAAGAGGAGGTATGGAAGACTCCTAAGTATTGGTCAGAGCTTTTGAGAAAATGGAGTTGCCACCAACTGAGATGGCAAATGCTGTAAGTAAAGCAGGTGGCTGGGGCGCAGGTTGGGGAGGGGGCATTATTCAGGAATTCAATTTCTGATGTCTCAAAAGATTTATACTATTGGTCAGCTGTGTACTCATTTAACTAATAAAATTTGGAGTACCTAAATACTATAGCACTTCTTAAGTACTAAGAAGGAGACATGGAAATATATCAGAAACCAAAGACATGCTTAATAATTGTTTTACTGAGTGAATGGATGAATGAAGAAATGATCAGTCATCTTAACCATGTCACCAAAATAACTTCAGCAAAATCGGAATCATAGTGTCAGCAGTACAGTAGCTAATGCTGGAAAATATCTAGGAGTTTACGAAATGCTTTTGCTTATTCTGGGACAGAGACTGCTAATCACACTGGCATCTCAGTATCTGCCCTCCCCTTCTTCAAGAGTAATAAAATTTGGCTGGGTGCTTAGCTTCCCAAGATAAAGATAACATTTCTCAGCCTTCCCTGTAGCTAGGTGTGGCCAATAGTCTGGGAGCAAGCATGGTGTGGCAATTTCTGTGATATGCTCTTAAAGAGAATGGGAACACCCACCATTTGCCCTTTCTCTCCCTCTTCCTGTTAGCCGAAGTGCTGATGTGATGCTGAGGCATCTTGGACCACTTGGACAGGGTGACACTACTGAGATGGCAAGGGAACAAAAGCAAAGGAGCACGGATCCAGAAAACCCATGGCGCCATCTTATCAGCGCCGGACTGCACAGGCTTAGATTGTTACATGAAAGAATAAAGTTTCTATCTTATTTAAGCCACTGTTATCTTGGCTCTTTGTTACAGTAGCTTAACCTGAAACTTAACCAAATACATTTAACAAATCCTTAGAACAACCCTGTGATGAAATTAATATGCTGGGGTTTTCTTTTAATTCCTTACTGTGTATCTCTTTCAAACAGCAGGAAAATAAACTAGCAACATAGCTTTGTTTTATATATTTACATGTACCAGTGAAGAAAAACTAGCTGAAAAGCATTGTGAGAACTGATTGCAACAATTTTTACAGCAAGATTGGGGTTCAGGCATTCAATAAACTGTGCAGCACTCACTACCTAAAAAGCCACATGGTAAAGATTTTTCCAAGAGAATTGAGAAATTCTATGCTCTGTATTAGCTCAATTTTAATGTTTCTACTCCCATTAAAATCTCTGCTATCTATTAAGCATTATAAGTACCAACAATTAGTCCCTTGGCTGAAAGAAATGAGCAGTGGTTCACTGAACTCTTGACTTAATTGGTAATCGATAGGGATGTCAGAGTTGTTTCTGGGGCATCTAGATCTTTGGATATATATATCCTGATACATATCAGCAAGCCATTCCATTCATTAGGAACAGTTTCACACATTCAGTATTTGAATAACTGGTACAAAAATGTGTTGGCAAAAGTGGAAAAAGCCCAGTTCAAATGCTATGCAAGCAACCATAATTTGAAGGATAAAACACTAAAAAGTGCCTTATGAAATTTGAAGGATAAAACACTAAAAAGTGCCTTATGAAGAACAAGACTCTTTGGCACTATATACTATGATATATTTCTACACTTAAAATGTACACTTATTTTCATTCAACTGCCCTCTAGCTTCTCTCATCATTCACTGCCTAAACCAGAGAGATCACTGAATTAACAGCTTTTGACTATTCATTTATGCTTTAAAGGCTACTTTCTACTCAAGCAATAGATTCTGAGATTTACTAAAATAATTTTTTAAATCAAAAGCAGTAATGAAAAATATGCTCCATCTTCTCCTTGTATAGTGAAAAGTTTATTTCCTTAAGTGACTTAAGGACTTTCAAATAAGAATATGCGAACTGCTTGGCAATACCCAGATTATTTAGTCTCTGCAAAGCTAAGGGTGACTCCCACTTGCACGCACACACACTGATACCTATAGACACCATGTCAAGGTTCAGAGGTGGCCTTACCTCCAAATCTTTTAAAGGTATCAGTGTAAGCCTCGTGGTATTTCCTCAGGCAGTGCCTGGAAAACAGAAGAGCTAAACTATACTTATGTGGGATAACCTGACTTTCATTGCATGATGAAAAGAGATGATGTCAGTGCCAGTATTTTAGAATGTGGAAACCAAGCCTTTTTCTAAATTCTTACGATAGTCAGTATTTTTACACAATAGGAGCTCTAATTCCTCTGGACAAGTATAGTCAGAAACATAGGAAAACACTTCTCTATTCCAAATATGGAATGCTGGATGTTTCTAAAATAATGGTACTGCTCCCTCGCTTAAAAAAAACCAAAAATTATAAGTATTGAGTAAAAGAACCTCTTCTTCCTTAATACTGTGTGTTTTAAGGCAAGAAGCAAAGATATAAAAAGGCAGAAAAAGTAAATCATCCAGGCAAAAGCATAAAATAAAATATTACCTTTAGCTGGGTTTACTTTTATCCCTGACCTATACAGCATTTCCTCATTCTGCCAGTCTCCGTTCCTGATCGCCGTCTTGAGTCCATAGAAAACAATTAATGTAGCTGTAGCATAAAAAATCAAGCTCTTGAGAAACCGCTTTTGGACTTTGACATAAAGGGCTCTCGCACCCACTGTAATGAGGAGGCAGAAGCCCATACTAGGAATATACAGTACTCGCTCTGCAATTACAAAGCCAACATAGAAAAACAGGTTCGTGGCAGGAACGAAGGGTATTATTAACAAAGATAAAGACAAAACAACAATGTTCTCTGTAGAAGGAAGCCGTGTTCTCTGTGACACATTATTTTTAATGCCATTTTCTACTTTGGATGGAAAGCTGGGCTTAATCTCTGAGTTCCGGTACTCCACCTCTGAATGGCAGCTATGTCCATTTGCATTCTGCTTGCCATTTGTTACAAATTTCCCGTTGCATTCTCTTTCTACGCTTGGGCTCTTCAAACCATAGTAGGCAAGGAGGAGGAGTCCAGTATAGAAGGCCACAGTGTGTAGGTTTCTCCAATCACAAATTGTTTTGAGCAGAGGCACGGCATCCATTGACCAATCAAAACTGAGGGTATCTGGGCAGAGCAACAGCCAAAGGTTCTTGGTTGGCAGGTAGAAGAAGGTGAGTGTGCGAGCCAGGAGGCTATCCGAATCAGCAGCTGGGTTGTCAGAGTTGGAAAAGCTTGGTGGTTTGTTTCCCATCCAGTATAAACGGGCACCCAAAAGGGAAGTTCCCCAGAAAGTTAACAAACTAATGCTGAGAAAAAGAGACAAGTTCTTCCTCTGAAACCAAAAGAGAGGGGGAAAAAAATTAAGATCATCATCAAGACAACATAGGAATAAAACACTTAGAGACGAAAAATACTTTAAATGGACAACTAAAAACAGAGCATTAGGTTTCAAATACATGACTTCGTTTCCATCTCCTTTAAACATGCTTACAGATATTGTAAGCTTAAAAAAAACGGACTATGGAATTCTACTCTGCATATAACTTTTTTTTTTTTTTTTTTTTTTTTTTTTTTTTTT